GAGGCACTGCCATGCGGAAAAGGGAAGGGATTTGTTCAGTGTTGCTGGAGTGTGAAGAAGAGGTGGACTGAAATTTAGTGTGCGTAGGAGACTTTTGCCAGTGAGTGCTGTGTAGCACTGGCCAATGCCACCTTTGGGAGGAGAGAGCCCCCTGTCACTGGAGGTTACAGGTATCAGTTAGTGATACTTAAGAAGGGACTCATGACCTAGAGACTGGGGGCATCCTACTGCATGGTATCTAAGCCTCCCATCCCCCAGCTCTGAGAATCCTTGGCTTTAGGATTGTTTTAAATGGGATGCTAGGAGTTGGGAAAGCAATTAAAGAAATCCACTGAAGTGAGGACCAAGCTATAAAAAAAAATCTTTATTTCATGTACCAGGATTTTTTTTTTTTTTTAGTTTTCTGCTTTTTAAAATTTTTTTCTGTTAACAGTCTGAAAAAAAAAAAAAAGGACCCACAAAGAAAATAAAACGGAGGTTGGGTTTTTGAACTGGTTTGAGCTGGACATGAGCAATCGTCCATCCTGGGGAGCAGTGCCCTGGCAGTCCTGGTCCTGGCTCCTTCCCTCCGGGCCCCCTAGCCCTTTCTCGGCCATGCTGGTGTCACCCCACAACCCGATGGCCTTCATCAAGCGGACCCAGGCCCCAGGTCTTGTAGCCTGGGAAGAAGCACTGATTGCCATCCCAAATGCTCTGCCAGAACTCAGAGAGTTGGGGCCAGTTTTCCTCTTTGGACAGTGCCCGAAGCTAGTCTGCTGTTTTCTTGGGGGCTCTCCCTTCCCGCTAGTCCTTGATCTGTTCAGGTTTGCAATCTGATGGGTCAGTGGGCAAGGTTGGGGTGGGGGAGGGGTGGGTTGTGATTTCTGCCCAGACTGAGAATACCTGGTTGCCACCACACCTTGAGTTGGCCCCCACAGCTCTGCCCTGGGCCTGTGGCCTCCCCTGCACTTCTGGGGCTGGGCTGGCAGGTGTTCTGCCTAGTGCCTTAGGCTGACTTGCAGGCCTCCAGCTACTGCTGACCTGGGAAGAGAACTTTCCTTTTCCAGACAAAAGACAGGAAGGGCAGCTGGAAATGTGCTAGCGACTCCCTCAAGCTCCCCAGAGAGGGAGACTTGAGGAAGCTCTCGGCAGGCCAGTGTCAAGGTGGAGGCAAACCAAGAGAGGGCACCTCACCCTTGTGGAGTGACTTGCAGACTGGTCTGAAATGTCCAGCTCAGGAAAACTGCTGGATTTCGCTCAGTATGGACTGGCCCTCGTCACCCTGGGGAAGAAAGGGGAGAAACACGGGTGCCCCCAAACTTCAGGCATAAGTTTAATGTTTGGGGTCGGTCCTCATCCTGGGACCAAATTTTGCAAAGACTCTCCTCTCCAGCCCCTCCACCTTGACCCCTCCCAGCAAACCTCAGAGGATTCTTTATCACTGACCCCAAAGACGGTGTGGAAGTCTGGTGGCTTGTCTCTTCTCTCAGAGAAGTCTCCTTCACTCTCTATGGCCAGGTTATGGCATTAAAGAAAGGCAAAATGAAGTGTGGCGTTGGGGACCTCTGTGTTTTTTCCCTCTTGGCTTGAATGGCAGGACACGCTTGCTCACGTGTGTATATTTTTGCTTTGACACTGGATGTGGGGGAAAGGGGCTGGGGAGCACAGTGAGGAGGCTTATGGGATGTGTGTGTGTACGTGTGTGTGCATGTGTGTGTACGTGGGTGCGTGTGTGTGTGTGTGTGTGTGTGTGTGAGAGAGAGAGAGAGAGGTTGACTGATAATTTGGGAATGTTTTCAGTGTCTGGGGCTGGATGGTACGTGTGTGTGCATGTGTGTGTACGTGGGTGCGTGTGTGTGTGTGTGTGTGTGTGTGTGAGAGAGAGAGAGAGAGAGAGGTTGACTGATAATTTGGGAATGTTTTCAGTGTCTGGGGCTGGATGGCAGCTGTTTTGGTTATCCCCGTCATCTTTCCCTGGGTAGGTGGCAGATCTTAAAAGTCACAGGTACACAGAATAAAAATGGCCCTTTGGAGCTCATCTGGGTCAATCCACATGTCTACACAGGGGGAAACGGAGACCCAGAGAAGCCACGCAGCAAGAAATTCCAGAATCCAGTCCTGGATTCCAGGCTGGTGCCTTTTCTGTGCATGTAAGTGGTGTGTGTGTGTGTGTGTGTGTACGTCCGCGTGTGTGTGCATGTGCATGATGTGGTGGGTGGGCACGTGAACATGAAGGACAGTGTAGAGTCGCTGTGATTGTCCATGGCTTTGGAGGGCATGGGCCAGTTTCCTCTGAGCCAGGCCCCAGCTGTGTAGGGGATGGAAGGATTTAGACTGAGTATGTGTCCCCATGAGCAAGGACAGCGCAGGGCTGAGAAGACTGTGTGTGTTTGTGAATGTGTGTGTGTGTGTGTGTGTGTGAGTAAGGTGAGTGGTCTCCTTCTCTCGTGATTCTCTTCCACGTTAGCAGCACCTTCCTGGTATAAGGAAGAGGTCTGTCCATCACAGAGACTCCCTGCAGCTCGCTGGGGCTCTCCTCTCCCTCCAGCTTTACGCCCAGCTCGAATCTCTCACAACGTTTTTAAAAATGGATTTGTATATTTGTCTCCTGTTTTTTCTTTACAAGTTCCCTGCTAAATTTTAAGTCCCCCACCCCACCCTATTTTTTGTTTTCACAGTTTAAAGCTGGAAAAGAATTAAAAGAAAAATACTATCTGATTTTCTTGCAAGTAAATCCACTTATTATATATTTACATGTATTTATAGTCTGTGGTTTTTTTATTAAAAAAAAA